TAACTGCTTTCTTTAGTGCCCTGTGGCAGCTCTTTGTATGTGTGGTTAGGTTCCATAGAGTCATGTTACGCGCCAGTAACACGTCGTTGGAAAAGCTACGTTCGTCCCTAAGTTTTGCACACCAGTGTATATTCAAGTGAGTGAGGTTGGCTGCATTGAGAGCTCTCAAATTCTGAGTGAAAAAATCTGCATTGCAAATCCGAGACTACTCAAGACCCATTCCTTCTTGGATAAGAGGACACGATTTTGAAGGTGAACATGGGCCTGACTATTCTAGAGTTCCATTTCTTTCCTTTCTTCCTTTGTATTTTTCATGATAAAACGGAAACACTGTTGATGATGATCCTGGCCCTAGTCTAATTTTACAGAAAGTCAATAGATTCTTACCATTGGCTCATAATGCTTGACAATCTGAGTAGCGAGAATTTCAACGACATCACAGTTCTTGAACTGCACTACTGCGAACAGAAGATCAGCTCGTTTAATGAATCCATGGATGCGCTCGACCTAAGAATATATGCTCACAAGGGAGAATCTTCACACAAGTTATTATAATTCGAAACCACAAAAGGGAGTATCAGCTGCTGCTTCGGGGTAAGGTGATCATTCAGAAGATGTTACTTCACAGGTTATCGCAACCAAAAAAAAAACAGGCAAATGTGAGGTTGTAGGTGGCTTACCGTCAAACCACGTTCGAATCCATGAGGCCGCACAAATGGTTCTTTAGGAGCTGACTGAAAACAGTGCTCTAATTCATGCAAAACTGGATCTATAGAATTAGCCTGATAGACATACCTCGATTTTTTTCACAGGCTTTGCTTGAATTTCACGTGACTCCGACCCCTTTTTCACGTCTTGCTGAAGCAGTGTTCAAAAACTTTATTCAATTTGGAAGAGATCGTTAAACATGTTTTCAACGAATAGAATGCAAAAAACGTTGGGAGACCAAATAAAGATTTCACATGACAAAGGGCTATTGAGTGAATTGGACAGACATAAGTTAATGAATATATTTACACAAATTAACCAAATTGCTACATCAGTTACTGTTCCACTGTTGAAAACAGTTCGGCTGGTAAGCAGGGATCATGATAAAAAACTTATATTCCGTAAATGGCAACGGTACATACCACAACTTCAGTGGAGCGCTATGAACAAGGCACGTGGAGTCATAGCAACCAATTATGAGAATGGCAATTCCCTTCAGCTCCTTCCTTTCGTAGTCACCCTAGCGATGAGAATGGGGCAATGGTCTAATGTCCACAGCTAACTACCGCTCTGCTCAGGGGTTGAGAGTATGGGCATTTTCTTTTCATCACGACTTTCGAACTATTGATCAATGTTGACCAACTAATATTGTTGTGAATCTTTCGACGCCCACGAAGTTCTTATATAAGCGATCAAAATGCGTAGATCCTATTCCAGACCCAACCACTTTACTTGCGAATGATATCGCAGAGACTGGCATAGACTGGGCGACGGTCCAAGACAACAAAAGGCGAATTAGAGGAAGCAGATCGAGTAGGGTGGGATGGGAAGTTTGGAAAATCCCGTAGGAAAAGGCGTAACAGCCTGAGGAACTGATCCTCCTTTAGCGAGAAAGCGTTCATTGGAGTAGATATCAAAAGGGTACTCTGCGGGTCCTCACAGACTGCGGGAAGGGCGAACAAAAATCCGTTTTGTCAAAAATAGTTTTGTCAAAAATAGTTGAGAAAACATTCACCTCCATCTTCGAAGCGGACGCTGTATAATTGGTAGACAGCACTTAAATTGACGTGAAAATCCCGTCATTAACAAAATCGACTCAAGTATCGAATTTAATATCGAGGTGGATGCTTCCTCAACTATTAACGTAATAACTTGACAACATATGGAGACGCGAGGGTAACGCCGTTCACTTTAGGCCCTCGTTGGAAATTGAGACGCGTTCACGCACCCCAAACAGCGAATATCAAATATATTCATCGTCTTTTCTAGGGCTATGCGCAGCTTTTCCCGAATTGTTTGTCTCTCTTCTATGGATTAGAACATAACATTATTGTGAACGACATAGGTCATTGTTTGTTCAAATATGCTCCAGTTTAGAAGAAGTTTTCCAAGCTCACCGAAAACCGGCGGCTTTGGTTCATTAATAGTTTTCATGCTATTCTCATGAACACGTCAATAAAAAAGGGTAGTGAAAGTAAATGCAAATCTAAAGAGACAGAAAAATACATGCTTCACTTGGTATAACCACATCAAAAGAGCTTTTGGCATCCACTACAGATAAAATGACTAAAATTTCCTTTTTCATTACCATTACATGTTCTTTAATCGGAACTTCGTCACTATATACTCTATTACCTTCTACGCATTGACTGTTACTGAGATGTTTTTGTACCACTGGTGCTTTAAAAAGTTATCAATAAAAATTCACGGATCCGAGGTGCGGCGGTCGCACTCGCAAAATCGGCCCGGTCCCACACGGCCAAAAAAGCCAAAACGCGCGCGGTCGTCAATGTGTTAAAGGAAGTTTGTGCATTTGCAAATCAGTAATTACATGTACATTGGCATATGGACCACAAACCATGTTTAACGGGGATGCTCGAGTTAGATTCAGCACTATTACCCCGTTCAAACTCACTGTGAAGCAGCAAATTTTGAAAAGTTTTTGCACCGAAATTCGTATTTGTTTGTCTTACTAAAAACTTTTGTAATAGTATTTAAAAGTCGTACGGAAGTACAAATTATGTCAAACAGGGAGCCTGATACACTAATCAACCCAAACTACGAGACGGCCGTTCCAATGGACTCTTGTTAGCATTGGTGCGCAAATGACATCGTAATGACATACAACCTTCGCAAATCCATATGCGACCATAGAAAGCGCCATATAAACTGGGTTCCCCTGATGAAACCCTACGATCATTAATGCAAAGCGACAGGCGGGTTGGGTTGTTGGCAGAGTCAACCCTGCGTTGCGCAGTTCGCAACGGCACGTTGAGAGATCCTCAACGCACGCTGTATGGGCGGAGACGCAGACGGCTCGAGCATGCGAGTGTGAATGTTCGCGCGAGAGAACGTGTAATCGGGCGAAACTGCGCAACGTGGCCGTTGAAACTGCGCAACGCAGGGTTGACTCTGGTACTTCGTAAATCATGCATTATGCGAAGTTATTTGATCGCTTGCATCAAAACAACTTTTAGCTATAAATCAGTGAGCTTAGAGAAAGAATTATTTGCTATGAACTAATGGGACAAAACGACCAACCTCAGATGAGATGGACGGGGAAGCAGTCTTCCGCTGGTCACTATCAGATTGTTTGGATACGCTATAAATACCAAATAATGAAATAACTGCTAGATACTGGAAAAAAGAAGAGTAACAGTACATGGAAGGTCGCAAAATTTAATAATGCCAATGATTAGCCAGTAAGTGATTAAATAAGCATCACGCCTATATTTGCAACGATTTAAGCTAGAGAGTAATTAAATAGAGGGCTGGAGGCATAAGCAAAAACCCGAGAATATTAATTAGTAGCAGGATACAAGAATTAGAAAAAACATTTTATCATTGCACGCGTTGCCTACTCGGCTTTATAAATAAGTGTCATGCTCTAGGTCAGAAAATGCGAAATATAATACTTAAGATACAGGCAGACATTAGTCCGACCCTGAAAAAATATGCACAAAGAGGTCACATCAGAACACACACCTAGTCGCACTTTGTTCCGCATCAGGAACATTAGTAGACGGTAAAGATGAAGACGTGGTGGATGTAGATTGCACACGCTTCCGTTTCGGAAGGGCGGGAGGTAGTGGTATCTAAAATGAATAATTATGGGGAATCTGAAGCTACATTCTATTTGAAACATTTTTCTACCTTTCTAAGAATGAGCATCAGCTCGATGAACGAGATAGCCTCCGTTATCTTATGGATGCGTGAGTATTTCACAGTCATAGATAGCCGACTGCTTTGAGGACAGCAACTCCAACTCTACGAACAAGGACAAACGAAAGGAAACTACAAAAACCCTGGTCCAATGACTTCCATCCCGATGATTTGCAAATTACTCACACCAACTTACCGTTTTGCGCACAGGCTGTTGAGGGAAGTAAGCACGGGAGAAGAGCGCGCCGACACGTCCGAGGATTGCAGTTGATCTTTGAAAGGTGTAGATGGGACATTTGGGACTGTTTGAGGTCCAGCTGTATTTGAATTCCCGAGGAACAGGCATAAGCGTTGCAGTTTCGGTTCGAGCTTGAACGGCTGAAAGCTTGCATTGGCTTATGCTATACGAAGTTATTACGGAGCGCTATGGACAAGATAAGTCCAGAAACGCTGAAACTAAATCAGCACGTTACCGCTGGTAACAATTGCTCCGCAGCATTGGACGATGTCACACAATAGCGGGTGACACCGAGGTTTTTAATGCGATGTGAGTTTCAGTTACGTACAGTGTGAAAAGAGCATCAACATAGCGAAAGGGGTAGTCCAATCAGGGGTCAACCCTATGTTGCTACAAGTAGCAACGGGGGTCGTATTTTGGTGAGTTTGGAGGGGGGTCGTACTTGCTTAGGTTGTAAGAAGTGGCATGTGATGAGAGGGGAGCGGCGCGGGAGAAAATTTGCCGTTTCAGCGCGCGTATACCCCTTCTAGAAAATGGAGCAGTTGAAATATGGGTAAAACATAGTGGAAATTGCAAAGGAAAGTAAGGCTGAATTTTCTTGCGCGTTTGGGTTCAAGGGAAGTTATTACCCCCCCCCGCTCGGACGCTAGTTCTTGGAAGGTGGGGGGGTAGTAGGAACTTCTTCCTGAGGGGGGCGGTCGTTAAAACTGGTTTCGAAAGTAGTGAGCACGCTGGTAGGACTGCCCTTGGTTCAATGTGGTGCATTCCATAATACGTTAATTCCAGCATCTATGAATTGACTTTTGCATGAATGAATCTGACGTGAACAATTACAATTTTTGACAAAGTTGGCTTCCAGAGACTACCTATGGACTTGGAGGTGGAAAACTGCAGATTCTGCGACTGCTCTGGTTTTCTCCCTGTCAAGCGAGAGGGTTTCCGCTCAATCCAAAAGCAAAGGAACGAAAAGAACAAGTCTCAGCAATTTTCGTGATAAGTTTTGTCTGCTTTGCATCGTGGCTGGCACAAGCTCCTCTCATTACTGGGATGCGTTTTACATGATTGAAAAAGGCGTCGGACACGACCGCACGAGAAAAATCGCTTTTCTCTTCCCACTAATCGACTGTAGTATGACTTGGAGAAAAGGAACAAAGTGATTTTTGCCTGGATTACAGACCAACTAGCAGGGATGCAGAGAAAAATATACCGAAATACTACGTATATTCTAAGGTGTAAACAAACAAGGCACACAAAAGATGCTCTAGCTACCGATTCGTTTCAATAATTTTTGCCTCTTGACGCTTGATATCAAATAATCTAGATTTACCATTGGAGAAATGCGACCTTGCAGATGACATACTCGTAAAGAAACGAAAGGAACTCCCCTTTTTACGGGTAATGTAAATACGAGATTTCTGAGAGCACCTACAATTTACGATTTACTTTCGCTCACCTTTCTCTTGGCTTTCATCACTTCGGCAGATTGAAGATATCGAAAAGATTCAGTGTTTGTATCATCTTTTTGAGAGGTCGCTTCTCCCAAACATTCACTTATCGTTGGGTTGGTTCATGGCGGGATCCAGAATCAGCACTGCTATTAGCTGAATTGATATGACCTTGCAAAGTATTTAAAATTCTAAGAAAGAACTCTTGAAATTAAAAAAAACGCCGACGATTTTGCGAACTCTCGTAAGTCTTCGAAGTGGACTAGTTTATTCAGTAATCATGAGTAATACTAAAAAATTATCAAAGTTTTATTTTGACGTTGAACATTTCGAGTTTAGAGAGCGACTTTTCCGCTTTCGCAGCGAGGATTCCAGGTCCACTCCTGATCATTGATGGACCGAGCGAAAAACCATCGCGACGCGTGATGCGACTTACTTGTCACTAGGACAGAAGAAATTTTCGCCGAAACAAAAAAGTCACTTTTCTTATAGCGATCCACAGCCATCACGTATTATATAACAGTCTAACTGTTCACCCTTAAAACCATTAGAGTACAATAATTTCGAACACTCAATTAGTGAAAGGACCACAACAAGAAGAAAAAAATTACCCATTTCTTTCCATAATTTCCGACTTATTTCCTTATGGTCAGTGTCATTTTCAGAATGTTCAGCCTCCAATTTTTTATTTGCTATGAACCCATGAAACTATTCCCATGGTATGAGTCCATGCCAGTTTGCCAAACACTGCTTGCTCCAGGAGTGCATAATAGTACAATGTCAGGGCGGTTTTGCCCATGATCTAAGCAAGTTCTTGGGAGTTATTACCAATAACGGAATCGTTACGGATAATAGGTTTTGGGGCAATTACTGGTACAATAAATTAATAAGAGCTGTCAAAAGCAAATTATATCCGTCTATTTTCTATTTGTTCCTGAATAGATAGCATCACAGTTAAACTAGCGAATTCGCCGGAACTGGAGTTCAGGGGGCGCGAAAATCTCGAAATCTTATCCTTCGTTACCAGAGAGCATTCTTTAGAGCTCTCTAGCACTAAGGTAAGATTGATAGGTGAACGACTCATGCAAAACCCACATTTGATAAGGACCGATAAGTTTCCTAATTTTCACGCATCCTACCCTCACCCATGAACTTATGCACATGGTCGCACACCTAAGGCTGCCCCACTTTTAGCCCCACAAGTGCTTCTTCGCTCCCCTGGCTCAGGGCCATTCCAGGCCGAATTGTGGAAGTACATTGGGAGTACATCACACACAATACCGGTACTCTTTGAATGAAAAATTGCGTGTCACTTTAGTACTGAAGAGCACAATGAGGTGGCCCTCTCGAACATCTTCACCGCGATTATTGCTGTTAATGAGGCTTATTCCAGAAATATGAAGATCCACACGTACTGATAGGAAATTATGAGGCTAGTATAAAGTCAAATTTGTGTTCTAGAACTTATTAACTTAGTAGGAAAAATAAAATGATATCACCTAGAAACTGCATACCTTCGAGATCAAAACCATCAATGAGTGTCGTCGTTTGCCGTAGGGGGAGAGGTCTTAAAACAGAAGTTTAGACGCTCATACATCAACACGGATCAGAACAATAGCCAAATTCTATATCTTACACTTCTTCTTAGAGGAAGACGATTGTACGCTATGTCTATCAGAGTGATCACGTTTTTTTCGAAGAACTATGTTCTTTAGATTTTCGCGCCTCATGCTGTATCCAATATTCTTTGATCGCTTCCGGACAATCCTGCAAAACAAATGAGTCTTATCGCCAGTAGTAGCAATGTACGAACTTGCCATTTTGAGTTTTAGATGCAGCCATTCGTCAAACTTGCTGGTGACATCTCGCCACGCCACTTTGTACTAGTCCCGCCGCGACGATTCCTGTGATCGACAATACATTCAACCTGAAAGTGGTTCTCTTTTCACTAGCTACGCCTCTATTGAGAGTACACTTGGTCCAAAGCTTCGTTCGAAATAATGAACCTAATAGCGCTTAAGCTCGAATCAGACGAGAAGATCGGCCTCATAGACTTCTTCGTCGGCCATCGAAGGGACCTGAAAAAGAAAGTGTTGAATAGCATAAACTTTTGGTTTTCACGCTGATAGGTGACTCAAGCCTAAGGATACGTTTCTGTACGTTCATGAATATTTGCTGAAAGACTTGTTAATGTGTTTACGGTTAGCATCAACAAATGATCCAGAAGCAAATCATTGGGCACCCTTTCACTAATAGAGGGCGTTGCTCTGTAAAGTTGCTCGTATCCTGGGGCCGTATGCTGAATGTTGGGTAGGGGACGGGGATGGGTGAACGTTGGGGAGGTTCGTCGCAGGACCCTTCTGGGCAGCTGTCGCACCTTCAATATTGCAGCTCTGTTTGTATTCTTTCATCGCTGCTTTTGGTATGAAGAAAGATATTTACGTGCGAATATACAATCAGAAACAGTAAAAGGGTGAAAACAAAGCTGCAAAATCAAAGGTGCGACAGCTGCCCAGAAGGGTCCTGCGACGAACCTCCCCAACGTTCACCCATCCCCGTCCCCTACCCAACATTCAGCATACGGCCCCAGTGAACTCAAGGGAGTGTTACTCCTTCTGGGACTTCATTCGCGCTTTCGCTGAATTATCGGATCGTACCGGTGTTCAAAGCTGAATAGGTGCAAAGACAGCTACACACGTGGTGTGCAGGCTACTTGTTCTAGGATGTAAGGCCTGTGACGGCGGAAGAAGTCTGGGAGGATTGAATTTACTATGGTCACAGTCTCGTCTCCTTCCATGCTTCCTAAAGGTCCGATCACACTGGCAGTTTGTGATGTGCAGTTCGAGTGTGGGAGCGATACGTACCGATTGTGCAGCTTGGAAATTGCGACTGCCAATTCGAAGCAATGGCACGATCGATACATGTCTGTTTCACATTCGAACTGCAAGCCGTACTGCATATAATGTCGACCCTAAGGCTCTCTCCTAAAAATAACTTAATAGAAGAAAATGCCTGCAGCGAGGTCTGACGTCGGACGCTCGCTGCGCGCAATATGCTTCCATTCCACCTTCTCGTGGAAAAAAACACCAAAATATGTTCCTTTAATTCACGCCATGCAGAGAATGGCATCTAAGTGAACTAATCAGTCACACAAAGGACTTGTCGAGCTGCAGACGTTTGCAGAGAAGTTGAAGCAAAGGGAATTATAAATATAGGGAGCACGCCTAAAAATCGGATAAAAACGGTAATACAGGATGTAGGACCTTCCAACCGAATTTCTTTCTCCTACAGGAATTCCAGTACTCGTCGGGCGTTCTCGACTTGTTTTCTTGCCACTGCCTAAAACCGACTAGCGATTGGAAAAGCATTGATGAAATGAAAACAAATATACCGGATGTGTAGCACGAGATGATAAACAAGCTATATCACAAGAGTTCGGTTATGAGCAAATCAGCTGAGGCGGGAAAATGTGCACCTCTCATCTTGGAAGCAGTTGCGTTACCGACTACACTACCACTACCAAGACGGCGCTGTTTCCTAACCCAGCTTCATTTTAATTTTACTTGTTTTTGTTATTCCTCCTGCTTTTCGGCCACATTTTCACGGCATCAAAAAAAATCTGTCTTCTCTAAAATTGTGACTTGACATCGTTTCTTAAACGAA